TAGTAGTAGTAGTAGTAGTGTAGTAGTAGTAGTAGTAGTAGTGTAGTAGTAGTAGTAGTAGTGTAGTAGTAGTAGTAGTAGTAGTAGTAGTAGTAGTAGTAGTAGTAGTAGTTGTAGTAGTAGTAGTAGTAGTAGTAGTAGTAGTAGTTGTAGTGTAGTAGTAGTAGTAGTAGTAGTGTTGTAGTAGTAGTAGTAGTGTTGTAGTAGTAGTAGTTGTTGTAGTAGTAGTAGTAGTTGTTGTAGTAGTAGTAGTAGTAGTAGTAGTAGTAGTAGTAGTAGTTGTTGTAGTAGTAGTAGTAGTAGTAGTAGTGTTGTAGTAGTAGTAGTAGTAGTAGTAGTGTAGTAGTAGTAGTAGTAGTAGTAGTGTTGTAGTAGTAGTAGTAGTAGTAGTAGTGTAGTAGTAGTAGTAGTAGTAGTGTAGTAGTAGTAGTAGTAGTAGTAGTGTAGTAGTAGTAGTAGTAGTAGTTGTTGTAGTAGTAGTAGTAGTAGTAGTAGTTTGTAGTAGTAGTAGTAGTTGTAGTAGTAGTAGTAGTAGTAGTAGTAGTTGTAGTAGTAGTAGTAGTAGTAGTTGTAGTAGTAGTAGTTGTTGTAGTAGTAGTAGTAGTAGTAGTAGTAGTGTTGTAGTAGTAGTAGTAGTTGTTGTAGTAGTAGTAGTAGTAGTGTTGTAGTAGTAGAGCTGGGGATCCTGGGGTTTATGTTATTTATTTAATATGACTGGACAAGTTCGGGAAAAGGGAAGTGACCAAAAAAACAACAAACAAACTAGAGGACATCAGGGACAAAGGCGAACTGTAAAAACATAAAAATACAAAATTACAAAAACAGACTTGATAAACTTTAATAATTTAAAAACAATTTAAAAATGTTGTGACCTGTGTGGTAAATCACACACACAGCTCCCCCGTAGAACCGTTCAGTTTTTTTAAAACCAGCGTGGCCGCAGTCTCATTCACTCTCACACACAAACCATTTAAAAAATCCACCAGTGTCCTCGGTCAAACGCACGCACACGTGGGTCCACCGGGCCACCGGGCCACCCACGGACACCAGGCCACCGGGCCACCGGGCCACCCACGGACACCGGGCCACCGGGCCACCAGGCCACCGGGCCACCGGGCCACCCACGGACACCAGGCCACCGGGCCACCGGGCCACCCACGGACACCGGGCCACAGGGCCACCCATGGACACCAGGCCACCGGGCCACCCACGGACACCGGGCCACCGGGCCACCCACGGACACCAGGCCACCGGGCCCCCGGGCCACCCACGGACACCAGGCCACCAGGCCATCGGGCCACCGGGCCACCCACGGACACCAGGCCATCGGGCCACCGGGCCACCCACGGACACCAGGCCACCAGGCCACCAGGCCACCGGGCCACCGGGCCACCGGGCCACCGGGCCACCCACGGACACCTCCCAGGCACACGGCCAACTTCCCCTTAAACTCTGTCTGAACGCAGCTCAGAAGCGACGCCCCGTGGTACCACCCACCACAAGTAGCAGAATATTAGTAGTAGTCATTGTTGTAGTAGCAGTAGTAGTAGTACTGGTAGTAGTAGTAGTAAAACACACAAAACACACAACACACAAAACACACAAAACAAACAACACACACAAAACACACGAACAGAGGATGAGGTGGTGGTTCTACTTTTGAATTTGCAAAACAGCATTTCTTGTGAAACAGCTGGTGTGGGTGGAGCTGTGGGTGGAGCTGTGGGTGGAGCTGTGGAGCTGTGGGTGGAGCTGTGGAGCTGTGGGTGGAGCTGTGGGTGGAGCTGTGGAGTTGTGGGTGGAGCTGTGTCAGAGATGTTCTTGTGAGATTAATGGAGTGTTTAGGAAATGTGTGATAACACCAAACCACAAGCTCACTCTTGCTCAACATCCACAATCCCACACACAACAAACATGAGTCTGTGGATCTTCTCAAAGTGACACCTGTGTCACAGAAACACTGACACAGAGACCAGCAGAACGTTCTGAAGGTCCAGCAGAACGTTCTGAGTCCAGCAGAATGTTCTGAAGGTCCACCGTGCTGTCCCTGAACGCACCCCCAGTTCTGGTCCTGCTCTTGGTCCTGGTCTGATGGACGTCTCTGTTGCAGGTCGTTTGTGGAGATGGCTCGACGGTCCCTGCTCCTGGTCCAGATTCTGGTCCAGATCCTGGTTCTGACACGGTCCCATGAGGCCCAAAAAACAGGTGAGTGCTGCCTGGGGTCACAGGGGTCATGGGGGTCACTGGGGTCATTGGGGTCATGGGGGGTCATGGGGGTCATTGGGGTCAGCTGGTTCTGTTGCTTCATGTCACATTTTTGCTGTTGGAGGTTGATTCTGAATAAAGCTGTTGTAAAAGTCGGGTTCCTTTGGACTCACTCACACTGAGGTCATGCTGAGGACTCAGCCCGATCTGATCCGGTCTGATCCAGTCTGACCCAGTCTGACCCGGTCTGACCCGGTCTGACCCGGTCTGACCCAGTCTGACCCGGTCTCTCCCTGGTTCCGGTCCTGGTCCGGCCAGGTGCAGTGTGCAGGCAGGAGGCCGTGGCTGACCTGGTGTTCCTGGTGGACGGTTCTGGGAGCATCGGGAGGCAGAACTTCCAGCAGATTGGTCAGTTCCTGTCGTCTCTGGTGAGCAGCTTCGACGTGCGGCCGGGGCAGGTGCGCGTGGGGCTGGTCCAGTACAGCTACGCGCCGCGGACCGAGTTCTACCTGAACACCTACCCGAGCCGGGAGCTGGTGCTGGACGCCATTCGCCGCATGCAGTACATGGGCGGGGGCACGTACACCGGGAAGGGGCTGGACTTCCTGCTGAGCGACGCCTTCACGCCGGCGGCCGGCAGCAGAGCCAGTCAGAATGTGCCTCAGATCGCCGTGGTGATCACGGACGGGCAGTCTCAGGACAACGTGGTGCAGGAGGCGCGGCGTCTGAAGGAGCGCGGCGTCACGCTGTACGCCATCGGCATCAAAGACGCCAAGGAAGAACAGCTCAGAGAAATCGCCCAGGATCTGGTTTACAGCGTCTCCGACTTCACGGCGCTCCACGACATCTCCACCAACATCATCCAGACCCTGTGCTCCACCGTCGAGGAGGCCCAGGAAAACATCACGCTGCTCTCCAAAGGTACTGAGGACTAGACCGGGACTAGACCGGGACTAAAGAGAGTCTAAAACAGGACCAAACCATGACCAAACTGGGACTAGACCAGGACTGACCCAGCACTAAACCAGGACTAACCCAGGAGTAAACTGTCCAAGAACACAGCAAACACAAACAGGGATACACAGAAACTTTGGGCCTGTGAGAACAACTGAACATGTTGGTCCAGATCCTTTCAGCAACAGCAGAAGTAATAACAGTAATACAAGTCATAGTAGTAATTGTAGTAATAGTAATAGCAGCAGTAGTAGTAGTAGTAGCAGTAGTAGTAGGGGTAAGTAGTAGTAGTACTAGTATTTCTTCATCGGGCAGCACCCCTCGTGTTCTCCGTCCTTCTGGAACATTCTAAAATTTAGTTGTTACTATTTCAATTAAATGTGCCTCTTGTGATTGGCTGCTTCACCAGTCAGTCGCGGGCTGGTCGGTCACGGGTGGGTTGGTCGCGGGTGGGTCAGTCGTGGTGCCGGAGCAGCGCCTCGTTTAGACTCATGTTTGAGAACCCAGATTCCCGCAGAACCATCGTCCCACGAGAACCGCGGCTTCAGTCAGGGATCCGGACTCAGTTTACCCCCCAACAGAGGATCTGAGACCCGGTGAGGACCTGTGAGACCCGGTGAGGACCTGTGCCTGTACTTGACCGGTGTGCGGCGGTGTGCGGCGGTTGGATCGAGTTTAGTCCGGGTTTATTCCGGGTTTATGTGGAGATTGGGGATCGGGGCCATGATGTTTGTGATGCTGTGTTTTTTTTCTCTTTGAGGCAAAAGTTCAAATTAGTTTTCAGTCAGATTGTTTCTAACAGTTAAATTAAACAGATAGTAGTAGTGGTATTAGTAGTAATATTAGTAGTAGTATTAGTTGTATTAGTAGTAGTATTAGTAGTAGTATTAGTAGCAGTATTAGTAGTAGTAGTAGTAGCAGTATTATTAGTAGTATTAGTAGCAGTATTAGTAGTAGTAGTAGTACTCATACTCTTGTGTGTTTCAGAATGTGCCAATGCTTCTGTGGCCGACATCGTTTTCCTCATCGATGGATCTTCGAGTATCGGACCGAGCAACTTCGAGGAGATGAGGACGTTCCTCAAGAGCGTCGTCTCAGGACTGGACATCGCAGAGGACAAGGTGAGGACACGAGGAGGGAGGAGACAAGGAGGGAGGAGACGAGGAGGGAGGAGACGAGGAGGGAGGACACGAGGAGGGAGGAGACAAGGAGGGAGGAGACGAGGAGGGAGGACACGAGGAGGGAGGACATGAGGAGGAAGGACACGAGGAGGGAGGACACGAGGAGGAAGGACACGAGGAGGGAGGAGACAAGGAGGGAGGAGACAAGTAGGGAGGACACGAAGAGGAAGGAGATGAGGATGGAGGAGACAAGGAGGGAGGACACGAAGAGGAAGGAGACGAGGAGGGAGGAGACAAGGAGGGAGGACACGAGGAGGAAGGACACGAGGAGGGAGGAGACAAGGAGGGAGGACACGAGGAGGGAGGACACGAGGATGTAACTCTGTGTGTAACTGTGTGCGTAGGTCCGTGTGGGTCTATGTGTGTAGCTGTGTGTAACTGTGTGCGTAGGTCCGTGTGGGTCTATGTGTGTAACTGTGTGCATAGGTCCATGTGGGTCTATGTGTGTAACTGTGTAACTGTGTGCGTAGGTCTATGTGGGTCTATGTGTGTAACTGTGTAACTGTGTGCGTAGGTCCATGTGGGTCTATGTGTGTAACTGTGTAACTGTGTGCGTAGGTCTGTGTGGGTCTGTGCTCAGTACAGTAATGAGCCGTACCAGGAGTTCCTCCTCAAAGATCATCTGGAGAAGAGCAGCGTCCTGGAGCAGCTGGACTCTGTTCCGTACAGAACCGGAGGAACCGAGACCGGAAAGGCCCTGGACTTCATCCGGACGCAGTTCTTCACCGCGGACGCCGGCAGCAGACGCGACCAGAGGGTCCCTCAGATCGCCGTGGTCATCACGGACGGAAACTCGGCCGACGAGGTGCAGGGTCCGGCTCAAGAGCTCAAACGGCTCGGCGTCCTGGTCTTCACCATCGGGGTGGGACAAGCCAACGAGGCCGAGCTAAAGAACATCGCCTCCAGACCCTTCGAGAGGTTCATGCTCACCATCGACTCCTACCAGGCTCTTCAGAGACTCAGAGATGGACTCCTCCAGACTGTCTGCGTCTCCGTGGAGGACATCAGAACAGGTGAGAACATGAGGAGGAGGAGGAGGAGACTGTGGTGTGTTTCTCCTCAGATGTTTTGGGGCTTGTGAAATTTCTGCTGCAGAAATGTGTTGTTGTTTTTAAAGGTGTTTTTTCACATAAATGTTCTTCTGTCTCATGTCTCTGTTTGTCTCTCTGTCCTCTCGTCTTCTCGTCTCGTGTCTCAGCTCTGGCGGAGAAGTTTGCAGACATCTTCTTCCTGGTGGACAGTGGTCTTTCGCAGACTGAGTTCCAGCAGGTGCGGACGTTCTTGAGTCGCGTGGTGAACCAGCTGAACGTCGGGGCAGATGCCTACAGGATCGGCCTGGCTCAGTACGGCGCCTCCGTCAAAGTCGAGTTCCTCCTGAACGCTCACCAGACCAAAGAGCAGACGCAGGCCGACGTGCGGCGCTTCCGACTGAACAAACTCAAACTCAACGAGCCGCGCAACCTCGGCTCCACCCTCCAGTACGCCGCCACCAACTTCTTCTCGGCAGAGGCGGGCGGCCGGACGGATCTGGGCTACAGGCAGTACCTGGTGGTTCTGAGCGGGAAGGCGTCCGACGACCCGGTGTACCGAGGCTCTCGCCTCATCAAGTCGACAGGCGTGACGGTGGTGGGCCTCAGCCTGGGGGCGCCGGAGAGCGAGATGAAGGTGGTGTCCACGGCACCGCACGTTTACTCGCTTGCGCCGAACACCGCGCCAACGCTCAAGGCCGTGTTCGAAACGCAGGAAGTGGACGCGACTGTCACCGGAGGTCAGAGGTCACACACACAGAGACCATGACACACACAGAACGTGACACACAGAAAGTGACACACAGAGAACGTCACACAGAGAACGTCACACACAAAAAACATGACACACAGAGGAAAACAGAGGAACTCTAACCTCCTCTTATGCTCCTTTCATGTACTTTTCGCATGTTCCTGTCGTGTTCCTGTCGTGTTCCTGGTGTGTTCCTGACATGTTCCTGGCGTGTTCCTGGCGTGTTCCTGTGTGTTCCTGTCGTGTTCCTGTCGTGTTCCTGGCGTGTTCCTGGTGGTTCCTCAGACTGCAGCTCGGCTCGTTTGGCCGACATCGTCTTCATCGTGGACGAGTCCACCAGCATCGGGACGGCAAACTTCCAGCTGGTGAGGACGTTCCTGCACTCGGTGGTGAGCGGGCTGGAGGTGAGCCCCAACCGCGTGCAAGTGGGCGTGGTCACATACAACGACCGCCCGGCAGCGCAGGTTTTCCTCGACAGCTTCAACAACAAAATGGACCTCCTGAACTTCACCAAGATCCTGCCGTACCGCGCCGGACAAACCAACACCGGACAAACCAACACCGGACAAACCAACACCGGAAAAGCCCTGAACTACACCAGACAGAAAGTGTTCACCCCCGCCAGGGGCAGTCGCAGCGGCAGGGGCGTCGAGCAGGTGGCAGTGGTCATCACCGACGGAGAGTCTCAGGTACCAGTTTGTTCTTAAACTCAGAGGAGCTCACAATTTTTGCACAAAATTCCATTTTGCCATCCTGACCAAAAAGTCAGTGACACCCATGTGTTTATGTATTTGTATTTTTTACGGCGTTGCCACAGCGATGACATAAACTCCATGTTATACCAAAAGAAAAATCGACAAATCGCACAAACTTTGGCCGATTTCACTCAAATTTTAATCGTGGGTTCACACTCCGACCCTGAACACACTGATGTAAGAAAATACAAAAATGGGTGCAATAGCGCCCCCTGGACGATTTCTATGTAACAATAGTGTTTTATTTGTTGTAGATTCATAACTTTTGGTGCACACGTCTCGTCCTGTTTATGATCGTGTCAAAATAAAAAGTCATGTTAAAGAAAAGCTCAGGTTCAGTTTGTCCTTTCACTTGTGACGCTCGGTCTGTGACGTTCCTGTCCGGCCGGCGCTCGCTCGACGGACGCGGATCCCGAAGTGACTGAGAGGAATGACACTGTGCCCCCTGCAGGACGACGTGGAGGCCGCGGGAGCAGAGCTGCGCAGAGCCGGGGTCACGGTCTACGCTCTCGGGGTGAAGAACGCCAAGAGAGACCAGCTGGACAAGATAGCGTCCTACCCCACCAACAAACACGTGTTCATGGTGGACAGCTTCTCCAACCTCAAGACCGTGGAGCAGGATCTGCAGCAGACCATGTGCCACAACATCTTCAGACAGGCCATCACAGTGTCCTCCAGGAGAACGGGCATCAAAGAAGGTACGATCGCACACGCGCACACCAAAACCCCGACATGAAGCAGCACATTTTAAATCCACATTTGCCACGTTTACATGAGAGTTTTAATTATAAATAAAAATTATTTAATTCTGAATAAAACTGAATTCTGCTTCAAAAAGTCCATGTAAACATTTAATTCTTAATGAAACTGATGATTCTGAACTTGATTTTGAAGTAAGTGTTTGGTTTATTCTGATTTTAAAGCTGAATGAATTTCTTCCTGGATCATGTTTCTCGTTTCTGACCTTCATCTTCCTTCAGGCTGCGTGCAGACGGACGAGGCAGACATCTTCTTCCTGATCGATCACTCCGGGAGCATCCACCCCTCAGACTTCCAGGACATGAAGAAGTTCATCATGGAGTTCCTGCACACCTTCAGGATCGGGCCAGACCATGTGAGGTTGGGCGTGGCCAAATACGCCGACGACCCCGAGCTGGAGTTCGACCTCTCAGAATATTCCGACGCGGCGTCTCTGGAGCGTGCCGTGGAGGACGTCAAGCAACGAGGAGGCGGCACCGAGACCGGCAAAAGCTCTGAGCTTCATGGGTCCTCTGTTCAAGAAGGCAGAAGCCTCCAGGGGGCAGAAGGTGTGTTCTTCTCAGGTCTCAGAGTTCCTGCTGGTGATGTGTGTTCTTCTCAGGTCTCAGAGTTCCTGGTGGTGATGTGTTTTCTTCTCAGGTTTCAGAGTATCTGGTGGTGATCACAGACGGGAAGTCATCTGATAAGGTGAAGGCTCCGGCCGAGGAGCTGCGAGCTCAGGGCATGACCATCTACTCCATCGGGGTGAAGAACGCCGACATGAACGAGCTGCTGGAGATCTCAGGAGACCCCAACAAGATGTTCTTCGTCCACAACTTCGACGCCCTCAAACCCATAAAAGACGACATCATCACTGATATCTGCTCCACTGAGGGTAAGAACTCAACCAGGACTACACCAGGACTCAACCAGGACTAAACCTTGACTCAATCAGGACTCAACCAGGACTCAACCAGGTTTAAAGCAGGTCTAAACCAGGACTATCCCAGGACTACACCAGGTCTAACCTGGGTCTGGTCTTGTGCAGTGTGTAAGGACGTGTCTGGAGACCTGATCTTCCTGGTGGACAGCTCCGGGAGCATTGAGGTTGAGGACTACGAGAAGATGAAGACCTTCATGAAAAGCGTGATCGGGAAGTCCTCCGTGGGTCCGGACTCGGTCCACTTCGGGGTCCTTCAGTTCAGCACGGTGCAGAAGCTGGAGTTTCCTCTGAACCAGATGTTCTCGGTGGACGAGCTGGTGAAGGCGGTGGACGCCATGACGCAGCTCGGGGGCGGGACTCACACGGGCGCCGCCATCTCCTTCGCCGAGCAGTACTTCAGCGCCACCGGAGGAGGGCGCCCCTCACTCACGCAGAGACTCGTGGTGATAACGGACGGAGAAGCTCAGGACGAGGTCAAAGGGCCCGCACAGGTGAGTCTGACAGGTGAGACAGGTGAGTCTGACAGGTGAGACAGGTGAGACAGGTGACAGGTGAGTCTGACAGGTGAGACAGGTGAGTCTGAGTTTAGTCCTGATTTAGTTCTGGTTTAGTCCTGGTTTAGTCCTGGTTTAGTTCTGGTTTAGTCCTGGTTTAGTCCTGGTTTAGTCCTGGTTTAGTCCTGGTTTAGTCCTGGAGTGTGCAGGTGCTCTTGGGGCTGACCCGTTGCTCCCCCTGCAGAGGCTGAGGGACACTGGGGTGGTCGTTTACGCCATCGGGGTGGTCGGCGCCAACGCCACTCAGCTCCTGGAGATCAGTGGGACTCCAGAGAGAGTCTACAGAGTGAATGAATATGATGCCCTCAAAGAACTGGAGAAACAACTCACTCTGGAGATCTGCAACCCCGACCGAGGTGCTCCTCTGATGTTCTCCTCTGCTCCTCTGATCTGCTCCTCTGCTCCTCTGATGTTCTCCTCTGCTCCTCTGATGTTCTCCTCTGCTCCTCTACTTCTCTGATCTGCTCCTCTGCTCCTCTGATGTTCTCCTCTGCTCCTCTGACGTGCCACAGAGTGTAAGAAGACGGAGAAGGCAGACATCATCTTCTTGGTTGACGGCTCCGGCAGCATCATCGACAAGGGGGAGTTCTGGAGAATGCAGAAGTTCATGTCTTCTATAGTGAACCAGACCATGGTGGGCTCCAACCTCACGCGCTTCGGGGTCATCATGTTCTCCGCCTTCCCCAACTCCATCTTCACCCTCAACCAGTACTCCAACAAACGAGACGTTCTCCAGGCCATCGGGAACCTGACCATCCCCGGCGGAGCCACCTACACCGGAGAAGCCCTGGCCTACTCCCTCCCGTACTTCAACCCCGAGCACGGAGGAAGAGCAGCAGAGAGGATTCCACAGATCCTCATGGTGATCACAGACGGGGAGGCCCACAGCAGGTACAGAGGAAGAACTAACACGACACAGAGGAAGAACTAACACGACACAGAGGAAGAACTAACACGACACAGAGGAAGAACTAACACACACATGACACAGAGGAAGAACTATGTGACAGAGCCAGTCCGTCTATGATTTTAGGTGGCGTTTTCCCATCCATCCATCCATTTTCTTCCGTTTATCCAAGGTCGGGTCGCAGGGGCAACAGTCTGAGGAGGGCCTCCCAGACTTCCCTCTCCGCACACACTTCCTCCAGCTCTTCCAGGGGGATCCCGAGACGTTCCCAGGCCAGCCGAGAGACATAGTCCCTCCAGCGTGTCCTGGGTCTTCCCCGGGGCCTCCTCCCAGTGGGACATGCCCTCCCGAGGGAGGCGTCCAGGAGGCATCCGAAACAGATGCCCGAGCCTCAACTGGCTCCTCTCGACGTGGAGGAGCAGCGGCTCTACTCCAAGCTCCTCCCGTGTGATTGAGCTCCTCACCCTGTCTCTAAGGGAGACGTCCAGCCACCCTGCGGAGGAAACTCATTTCGAGCGCTTGTATCCGCGATCTTGTCCTTTCGGTCACTACCCAGAGCTCATGACCAGAGGTGAGGGTAGGAACGTAGACTGACCGGTAAATCGAGAGCTTCACCTTTCGGCTCAGCTCCCTCTTCACCACAACGGTCCGATACAGCGACCGCATCACTGCAGACGCTGCACCGATCCGCCTGTCAATCTCACGCTCCATCCTCCCCTCACTCATGAACAAGACCCCGAGATACTTGAACTCCTCCACTTGAGGCAAGGACTCTCCACCCACCCGGAGAGGACAAGCCACCTTTTTCCGGTCGAGGACCATGGCCTCGGATTTGGAGGAGCTGATCTTCATCCCAGCCGCTTCACACTCGGCTGCAAACCGCCCCAGTGCTGCAGGTCCTGGTTTGATGGAGCCATCAGGACAACATCATCTGCGAACAGCAGAGATGAGATCCTGTGGTCCCCAAACCGGACCCCCTCCGACCCCTGACTGCGCCTAGAAATTCTGTCCATAAACACAATGAACAGAACCGGTGACAGGTGCAGCCCTGGCGGAGTCCAACATGCACCGGGAACAGGTCTGACTTACTGCCGGCAATGCGAACACAGCTCCTGCTCCGGTCATACAGGGACCGGACAGCCCTTAGCAAAGGGCCCCGGACCCCATACTCCCAGAGCACCCCCCACAGGACACCACGAGGGACACGGTCGAATGCCTTCTCCAGATCCACAAAACACATGTGGACTGGTTGGGCAAACTCCCATGAACCTCGAGCACCGATGGAGAGTGTAGAGCTGGTCCAGTGTTCCACGGCCAGGACGAAAACCACACTGCTCCTCCTGGATCCGAGGTTCGACTATCGGCCGGATTCTCCTCTCCAGTCCCTGGCATAGACCTTACCGGGAAGGCTGAGGAGTGTGATCCCCTATAGTTGGAACACACCCTCCGGTCCCCCTTCTTATACAGAGGGACCACCACCCTGGTTTGCCAGTCCAGAGGTACTGTCCCCGACCGCCACGCGATGTTGAAGAGGCGTGTCAACCAAGACAGCCCCACAACATCCAGAGACTTAAGGTACTCAGGACGGATCTCGTCCAACCCCGGAGCCTTGCCACCAAGGAGCTTGCCAACCACCTCAGTGACTTCGGCCAGGGTGATGGATGAGTCCGCCTCCGAGTCCCCAGCCTCGGCCTCCTCCTCGGAGGACGTGACGGTGGGATTGAGGAGATCCTCAAAGTTTTCCTTACACCGCCGGACAACGTCCCCAGTCGAGGTCAACAGCTCTCCCCCCGCACTGTAAACAGTGTTGGTGAAGAACTGCTTCCCCCTCCTGAGGCGCTGGACGGTTTGCCAGAATTTCTTTGAGGCCGTCCGATAGTCCTTCTCCATGGCCTCCCCGAACTCCTCCCAGCTCCGAGTTTTTGCCTCTGTGACCGCACGGGCTGCAGCACGCTTGGCCCGCCGGTACCCGTCAGCTGCCTCAGGAGTCCCATGAGCTAACAAGGCCCAATAGGACTCCTTCTTCAGCTTGACAGCATCCCTTACTTCCGGTGTCCACCACCGGGTTCGGGGATTGCCGCCGCAACAGGCACCACAGACCTTACGCCCACAGCTACGAGCGGCCGCGTTGACAATAGAGGCCGAGAATGAAGCCCACTCGGACTCCATATCTCCAGCCTCCCCGGGAATCTGGGAGAAGTCCTCCCGGAGGTGTGAGTTGAAGATCCCCCTGACAGAGGGCTCCGCCAGACGTTCCCAACAGACCCTCACTACACGCTTGGGTCTGCCAGGTCCCTCTGGCTTCCTCCTCCGCCAGCGAACCCAACTCACAACCAGGTGGTGATCAGTTGACAGCTCAGCCCCTCTCTTCACCCGAGTGTCCAAGACACGCGGCCGGAGATCAGATGACACGACGACAAAGTCGATCATCGACCTCCGACCTAGGGTGTCCTGGTGCCACGTGCACTTATGGACACCCTTGTGCTCGAACATGGTGTTTGTTATGGACAAACTGTGACTAGCACAGAAGTCCAATAACAAAACACCACTCGGGTTCAGATCAGGGAGGCCGTTCCTCCCAATCACCCCTCTCCAAGTGTCACTGTCGTTGCCCACGTGGGCGTTGAAGTCCCCCAGGAGAACAACAGAGTCCCCGGTTGGTGCACTGTCTAGTACCCCTCCCAGGGACTCCAAGAAGGCCGGGTACTCGAGTACTCTGCACTGCTGTTCGGCCCGTAGGCCGACACCACAGTGAGAGACCTGTGCCCGACCCGAAGGCGCAGGGACACGACCCTCTCGTTCACCGGGGTGAACTCCAACACGTGGCGGCTGAGCTGTGGGGCTATAAGCCCACACCCAGCCCCACACCAGCTCGCCGCCGCTCCCCGTGGGCAACGCCAGAGAAATGGAGGGTCCAACCCCCTTCAAGGAGTTGGGTACCAGAGCCCAAGCTGTGCGTAGAAGTGAGCCCGACTACATCTAGCCGGTATCTCTCAACCTCCCGCACAAGCTTGGGCTCCTTCCCCCCCAGCGAGGTGACGTTCCACGTCGCCACAGCCAGATACTGTGTGTGCGGACCAGGCCGTCGGGACACCCGTCCCCGACCGCTGCCCAGTCCTCTATGCACCCGACCCCTATGAACCCCTCTGTGGGTGGTGAGCCCACAGGAGGGTGGACCCACGTCGTCCTTTCGGGCTGAGCCCGGCCGGGCCCTGTGGGCAAAGGCCCGGCCACCAGGCGCTCGCATTCGAGCCCCAACCCCAGGCCTGGCTCCAGGGTGGGGCCCCGGCTGCGCCGTACCGGGCGACGTCACGGTCCTCGATATTACACTGTTCATATGGGTTCTATGAGCTGCTCTTAGTCTGCCCCGTCACCGAGGACCTGTTTGCCATGGGAGACCCTACCAGGGGCATAAAGCCCCGGGCAACATAGCTCCTAGGATCATTCGGGTACAAACTCCCCCACCACGGTAAGGTGGCAGTTCAAGGGGGAGTGGCGTTTTCCCCCCTACACATAACCGCGGTCTGCACTGACGTGCCCACGCACACACACGCTGAGTCATCCCGCACACATGAGTTCACTCCCCGTTTCCCGCTGTTTCATTCATCTGCGCCGTATTCACTATTATCGCCTTTTCCCCTCTTTCCTCCGTTACTAATTCGCCAAAGGTGCACACTTGAGCGCGTTAGAGTAGTTTATTTCATACTTGTCTCTTACCTGTCCGATGACGCGTCTCTCTCTCCTCCGACGCGGCGCCTCTGCCAAACCGAGCCTCTATTTCCTGTTGGTTGAAATAGGTGCTGTTCGCGCCGTGGTGCTGACCATGTGACGCACGTTATGTAATATGATTTTCTTCAGGTTATTCAACTATTATTTTTGACATTTTATGTACTTTATTACTGTGTGCTCAACGTAGCATAGAAAAGGAAGGTTTATGGTTAAATTCTTTGTCTTTATAATGATTTTCATGTGTTGCTCAGTGGGAGGAGTCAGGTGGTTTAAAGGGGAGCCGTTCCTGGCTGTCAATCAGTCTGCCACCGGTTACAGAGCAGGTAACGTCGGTGCGCTGTACAAGGATCTTATAGGGGACAGTTAATGCTGAACTGGACCCTGTTTTCTTGCTGTAAATACTTTTTGGACTGTTTTGCTCACTGTAAATATTTTTGTACTGTTTTTGGGATTTTTGCACTTTGGACACTGGCACAATAAACCACCTGCACTTAGAACTTCGATCTTGCCTAAGTCTTTAATAGAGCCCCGCCACATCTGGTGTCAGAAGTGGGATGGCAAGTCAAAAGAAGGGTGTCTGCCTTCCAAAGCGCACAGGTCTGCAGTCACAAAGCCGTGTGCGACAGCCAGAGGGGGCAGCAGCTCCAGACCCAGTATGGAAGTCAGAGGAGGAAGAAGAGTGGGAGGACAAACCAGAGCCATCGTCAGAATCTGGACAAGAAATGGTGGCTTTGATGAGGGAGTTTCTGGCAGGTCAGCAACGCCGGGAGAAAGGTTTGCTGGCAGAACTCCGGGGTCTGAGGGCCTCCCTCCCTGCAGCAGAGAATGTGGCTCAGTGTGCACCTCCTCCTCAGCCAGCTCCCAGAGTTTGTCCGGTGCCACACCTACCTGCTCCAACCCTGCCTGCGCACCTCGAGGCAGGTACCCCAACGTCCACAGCCAGTAGCCCAAGGATGGGACTACCAACCCCTGGAGGCCAGAGGTCCTTCTATGGAAGTCGCATGGAGGTCGGGGGCGGTGCTGAGCTGCAGCATCAAGCCCTGGAACTGGATGACCGACCCAGACCTGAATGGAGACATTTCAGTGAGCCCAAAATACCCCAGTTCCAAAGTGGGGAGGACATGGAGAACTATCTGTTATGTTTTGAGCGGATAGCCAAAACCTGGAGGTGGCCAGAGGAGGAGTGGGCATGTCGACTTGTACCCCTGCTGAGTGGGAAGGCACTGGAGGCCTACTCTGCCATGGATGAAGAGAG